TTTTGCAGCGGGAATGAGATTAGTACGGAAACCTAACGCCTATACGTCGCAAACAAGTTTCCTTGGCATTAACACGGAAGCAAACTGCAAAGACGTCTCATCCAGTATGGGGAGGGGCATGTTACGCGACAGTCACATAGCCTAAAGTAATCAATTTGCAAGAAGGTAAAGTTCCGGGTGGGTTAACAGCAGAAGCAAAGTGGTTCTCGCACCCCTGCAATTTCCTTCCTCTACAAAAATTGGACTTTCTGTTGGTGGAAGCAATGTGGCACATGCCTCCCTTACTGGATGAGACCCCTGCAAAAAAATTGGAGTAAAACTTCAGGTTAAATTGGTGGAGTAACAGCGGTCGATAATAAAATTGTGATGTTAAAGGACGAATTCACGCTGAAAAGGCAACCCATTTCAAATTAACCTAGGGATGGTGAGTGGTACACGAAAGAAGGAAGAACCATGAGAAACGGCCCAGAACCCGAGAAATGGGACCCCTTCCTTGCCCGTTGATTTGAGCATTGATGCGACTCTCATCGCTGTGCCCTCTTCAACACTACGCTCTCTCTGCTATCTAATCACGCCACGTATAGACTGCGGCGAGTGATCAGATGGTCGGTGGGCGGAGATCGCCAGACCCGCCAACTTTGAGGCATAATAGGTCGCCGAGGTCAAATTTTTCGATGCGAATTGCGCATCAGTTCGCACCCTCAGGAGGTCCGTGGGTCCCTCAACTAGGTCAATTACTTCTTCCTCGACCTCCATTCTAATCGTAAAATCCTCCTTTAAACCGACCAAAAATGAAAAAGAACCCAAGCAAACCGCCGATAAAGCCATTAACAGCATGTCCCCTTTGTCCTTGAAATAAGGAGGCAAGGCTGGACGAGTTCTGCAAACTTGCTTGCTCCATGGCTCCACTGACCCGCGCGTATTTGAATTAGCCGCTACGTCGTAATCCACGTTGCGTGTCATGGGGTGTGCATGAGGTATCTCGTCCGTAAGTTCACATTAGTCGCCATCAGGCCACTTTGCAAGGCCCTAGCACCATCGTCGCGCAATTTTGAGCCCGAAAACGGCACATCTATGATGCTGCACTCTACCCTCAGTCAAAAATAGAGTCATTGATTGAACCTCATCTAGGGCTGTTGCTTTACAGATGAAGTGAGCGGCTCATCCAAGTACCAAATAGGTTAGAAGAAAAACCAAAGTGCCTACTATTTTGGATGCACGATAAGAGTCCGGCGAACTAAAACATCTCATAGTGCCTCAGACGGACACGAAAAGGAGCTTGAATTTCCCGAACAACAGCAACAACGGCAACAAAACTCAGAGACATAATTTATTACGTGCAATTTTACCACGAGTTTCTTCAAAATTAAGCATAATATTATCAGTATTTTATAGTAGAGAAAGAACAAAGCAAGCGCTTATACTTGGGATGGTAATAAGACATAAATATTCTTAAATATCATATACTATTGACGGTTCAAAATGGAACAACAGAGAGAAAGATATGAATAGAGGTGATCTAAGATTCTAGAAAAAAGAATTCTACGAGTGGTCAAATTCTTCTACTCGATCATGTCACTACGTTACTGTACAGTCGAATACAAGACCAACACCCGAAAAAGCCCGCTCTTGGATGAACAATCGCAGTTTACCGCTTGCTGAACTTGCAACAAAACTCAAGTGGACTCAACCGCATGTCATCCGCTCCCACTTTGATCACACAGTCAGCTTCGTCTACTGATATTAACTGGCCCATCACACCGAGTTCATCGCCATAAATGACGCGAGTCTAAAATGATGATTAAAAATATGCACAAACTAGGACGTATGGTTGTTCAGTGACTCTTGGTTCATCTATTACAGTATATTGTATAACTCACATAATCGCCTTCCTGAGGTTTAAGCGGCTCGATTTGATCGAAGTCAGCTGTAGCCGAGCATTTCAGATCGGGGATATATACTTGACACCTGCCATCCTGCAAAAAAGCAAATCAAGTGTATATTAAGAAGAAGCCAGCATAGGTAGAAAAACAAATATTTCACAATCAGCAGCAGCAGCAATACCTGAACGCTGGTGACGATTGCCTCACGGTCCTGGAATCGATCTTCATCGTGATTGCTCTTGATTGTGACGAAGAGGTCCTCCATAACCCATTCACCTCCTTCCAGGAAGTGAGCAGCTAAATTAGTGATCAATAGCTGGTAATTGTAAGAAAGTTAGTAAATTAGTCAAAGGAGTAATTAACCACTGAATTATACCTAATTGGTCTCGCACCATTATATCATATATTTCTACCATTTAAATTTGATTTTTTGCATGACTCATTCCTTTTATATATTCGTTTGAATCTATATTCAGTATTCAACTGCATATTCCTCTACATGATTACCACGTTAGCGACACGCATGTTTTGGCATTTTTGGCAGCGTGGGACAGGAGCGATTTGCGCCGTCCTCACCTTGCTTCCGCTTATTTTTTGTTCAAAATGCACAACAAAGTTGATCTCACAGAATTATTTCGGCAATGTGGTAGCGTGGAGACTACCTATATAAAAAGCAGGAGAATTTCGTTCAGAAGAACGCATAACCACAAAGAAGCAAAAACATTCAATTTCGCTGCGATTGAAGTGAAAAGCATTTCTACTTTATTGCCTACCAAATAAAAATATCTTGTAACTAACATAGCTCTGTACAACTTCATCTACAATCTTTCACATGAATGTTTACGACAATTAAAGGAAAACTAAGGGGGAAGAATTGAGAACTGAGATTTCTGTGAGTTCAAAAAATGTTTGCTGAATCAAGGCATATTTGACCACTCTGGCGGCCATGTGGTTTATAGCTATGCTGATGCACGAAAATTATCTATAGAACTAATACAAGAAAATCTCGGAGAGGAGCCGCAGACACGATAAAATTAAATGACATATTTCTGACACGCATGCGCGTCGGCCTATCGTCAGCGAGTTCATTTGTGCGTCAAATCCAAAGTTTTTTTTTTGTTTTTCCCTATTCTTTATTTCGCTAATCCAAATTATTGACGATGTCCGTGATTGACGAAATAAAAAGATTTACCTGAGGGAAGAACGGGTCTAACCGTTTGATTTATTTCGTTACAAGTGTTCCTACACCTTAATTGGTACAAACAGGAATGCCCAATAGAAAAGAAACTCACGAATCTTTTGCCCTCCAAACGACTCATAAGTGCTACGCACGTATGGCGATGAGGTACGTAAAGGGGATAATCGTAGCATTCCGCCAGGTGTCATCGGATTGTAGTTACCTTGAATCGTAGAATATGTGGGTGTTGAAAATAAGGCAGTCTAAAATCCTTACCCATCGGAGTTTCTGGGGCGAAACCAGGGGTTTGTGGATTGAGGTTTGTTCCTGGAGTTGGTACACTATAAGACGGAGAAGCTGGTGCTTCGTACTGTGGCTCGTTATCCTGAACATGAAGAATTTCAATACATTTGAATTTAATATCTGCACGATTAGCAAAGTACCCCACCTCCTCGTCACTGCTATGCTATCGCCACGCCGAGAAGCTGAAGCAGCGGCTGGTTCATCGTAAGACGGTGTCCTACCACCTTCATATGCAGGCGTAGCGACCACTGTCATATGCTGGAGTTCGACCGCTCTCATACGAAGGTGTTCTTCCTCCGTCGTATGCAGGTGTCCTGTTAGCATCGTAAGTCGGTGTGCGACCGCTATCGTACATGGGTGTGCGTCCACTGTCGTAAGCTGGAGTGCGTCCGCCTTCATAAGCAGGAGTTCGTCCACCATCATATGCCGGTGTGCGACCCCCGACAGGTGTTCTCGAATTGTCATACGACGGAGTATGCGAGCC